AGTAATATTTTGTTTCTAAGGAGAAGTGCGATTTGCAAGCAATGTTCTATATCAGTAAAATATTTCTTTGAAAATTATTAGAAATAGTTTAAGGGCCAAGTTCTCTTATTGCAATACACATTACGGTCCTGTTTGGTTCACATTATTTTTTTATTTTTATTTTTATTCTTCTACTCATTTTCAGCCACACATTCTTCAATAAAATAATATTTTTCATCACATCAATTACTTTTCCTTCTTTTTCAACCACATATTCTCCATCACATCAACAATAAAAATACATTCTTACCTTCAAAATATGCACCAAACGGTGGGTACATAAGTTGTAAATAGTCCAAACTCATTCTCAAAGTAAGTTACAAGAGTAAAAAATGTTAAGATTGAAAGCAATTTTAACTACGTAAAATTGAACAAATTGGTCTAAATTTGGTTTTTATTCATATTAATGAGAAATTGCGAACCTTACCTATAGTATATATTTTTATATCGAGAAATGTGTCGAGTCACCTAATTCATTGTCTAAAATATCAAAATACATAACAAACAATAGGAATACATTTTGGAATAGTGATTTGATAAAAAAAAGTAATTAAAAAATCAGAAGAAATTTTGAATTTGCCTATAGTATTATTTTATTAAAGAATGTGTAGGTAAAAAGAATAGAGAAAATACATTTTTTAAAAAAATGAGAATCAAATGAATTAGAAAATAAAATAATATTTTTCATCACATCAATAACTTTTCATTCTTTTTCAATTACATATTCCCTATCACATCAATAGTAGCATTCTTACCTTCAAAATGTGCACCAAACGGGGGCTAAATTGATAATCATTACCAGTAATTATTAAGGGAAATTATAAAAAATCAGAGGTTTAAAGATGACTTTTTAAAAATCAGGTCCAAAGTTTATTTATTCAAAAATCAAGTAATATATTAAAATCCTAACCCTAATTTATCACTCTCAACTCCCTCACTTCTCTCTCTCTCTCTCTCTCGTGCCTCCTCTCCCCTCCCTTACTCTCTCTACGTTCTCTCTCTAAACCAACCCATTGCCTTCCT